CCGTAGTTGTCTGTAGGAAACAGTAGCCATACAGTGGCATACTGTAGGCGTATCGGGGCCTACTGTATGTCACTGTGGCATGCTGGGGATACATACAGTGGCATACAGAGATTTACTGTATATACAGAGCTAGTATACCGTAGCATACTGTAGGTATACCGTAGATTACTGTGAAAATGCTGTAGGATACAGAGAAAGACAGTGGATTTTCATACGGACAGGGGTTTTAAAAGCCAGTAGTGTGAAATCTAGCCATTTAAGCTTATACCTGATTGAAAAAAAAAAGTTTTGAAACATCACATTTTTTGACTACCTGCCCGTTACACTATTTTCTCTGGGGGATTGACACAAATTTCTATATGATTAATAATTTATATTTAAGTTTTCAAGCACTTCAAAAGCATATTAGGAAACAATTTTTATTCTGTAGATCATACAAACTGTAAATTAGCCAATATGATACAACAATCTGTATGCGCAGAATACTCGAACTAAAATGTGATTACATCTGTAGTTTCGATGCATCTTGGAATCCCTTCAAGTCACATAATATGAAATGAGTTGATACCATCAACTTACGATCGTTAAAATGATCAAGTATTGGTATCGTATGTGGTACATAAGCTGTATTTATTAAAACGTATCTAATACCATCAGACCAGACATGCCTACAAAAAGATTACTGTTAGAAATGATTATAAATATATACAATAAGAATAAGTTTTAATTAGCAGTTAAACAGAATATTACGCACAATCAGCTAAGATCCTTTAATTCCGTCTTCATTAAAAATAATGTTTTGCTCAAAAACAAAAATTCAAAAATTGGGAGAGGGGTTAATCAAACTTCAAACTTCTCTTTCTGGGAAGGCAGGGGGTGGCGCATACTTTATTTTCAAAATTATTGAGTACATGCATAAGTGTTAAACATTATTCTTTAACCAGTTTAAAACAGATTACTCATGACACGTATTTTGAACATCCTGACAGTATTTCTCTTTCAAAATATGTCTTGGCAGTCTGTTTTGCACGGTATTACATTAATCAATGTTATGTATGTAAATAGAACTATCTTACTTCTGCTGGAGCTACAGCGTATTGTTCATGTGGTAATGGAAATTATTTAATCACCTCTGATTTAGGGAAAAGCAAGAATTAGATGGTTTGTATAGACTATTTTTGAAATAACAAGGTTATTTAACGAAGCTTAAGCATTTATTATAAATGTATTTTTTGGTATTCATAAAAAAATTAATCGGTTTCAGATGAAGTTCACCATCTATGATTTAATCTTCATTTTCCAATTGCTACATCGGGTTTTCTGCCTTAAAGGTAAGTAACGTCTTCGTATCTACACATCACTTAAATTTGAATATTATATAACTATTTGCAACATTCAAAACTGAAACTCGTATATTCACATAAGAATTCAACATTAAAAGGAAACAAAACTAAAGAACAAAGTGAAATAAAAACTTCAATTATATTTTTACATTTGATTTTCATTAATTGTTTAAAAAACAGATCTCTTGTCTTTTTTCTATCAAGTAACAGATATTTTAATACATAATTAGATATTCTTATAAACCTCCCATTTCAGTCAAACGTTTGTTTGTTAGTTTGTTGTTTAATGCCCTTTTCCAGAAATTTTCACTCATATGGATACCACTGGAAAGCTGTAAATTTTGTTCTGTACTTGGCACTCAAGGCCATTGATCAGTGAGTGATCCTAACACTGTCATAATCTACTGCGACACGACATCTCAGTTTAATTGTCTCATCCGAAGAGACGGACAACATGACCCATAGTAGTATTTAAGCAGTCAAACATTAAAGTAGCTCTTCCTTGAGCGTTTCTAAGCTCCATCGAATTTAACAAAATGAATATAATGTGCATATCTCTAAAATATTACTTAAATTGCAACACAAAGGTTATTGCACTTGACTAATTCTCTAAATTTTCATACTAAACTCTAAAATGTTCACAATTTTATTCATCAGTATACCACACGTCCATCATACATCACAAGTTATTTTTTTTTACTTTGAAAACATTTTGTTTAAAATTATAAAAATTGAATAGAAATATAAAATAAAAAAAAAACAATAAAATAAAAGATCTTTAAAATAAAACCTCGAAAAAGAGGTTTGCACCTTAAATAAGGGATCTAGATGGCCATTTTTTTCCTGATATCTCAACACTGTATTAAGAACTTGTACTACTTTAAAGAAGCAAAGTTGTTCAATGAAACATATTAAGATAAAGAACAGTATTCAATCTCAAAGTCCACAAAACAATACAAAATAAGAGCAAAGCAAACACGGACCTCCAAAACCTCAGAGATGGGATCAGGTGCCATGGAGAAGTAAGCATAAGCTGTTTGATATGATAAATAGCGGCTAGCGAGGAATCAATGTGTCATATAATGATATCATTTTGGGTCAACTTGGAAGTAGTTAAAATTGCTAAATTCACAGATATTAATATTGAATTGAATAATCTATGTCAGAGAGACGGTCCAGTAGTATATTTCTGTCGAGTATCGTCACTTTTGTCAATTTCACATTTAACCGAAAGTAACTAAAAAAACGTATTTCTATAGATATCAACATAAAATTAAATGAATTAATACCATAACTTGACCCAATTTTTGTCTATTTGGGTCACATACGGTCACCGAAAACAGTCTTAATTTGCTTCGTTTTACAAAAATGAGTCAAGAGATTTTAAAATACAGATCGACATTACTTTGATCTGGAGACCTTCTTTTGAACAAATATTTTATTCTCATTTATTTATCCCACAAGCAGTGCTACAAAAGGGCGAACTGAAGACTTAACCGCTGCTTTGCAACACATTCGACTCTAGTTTTCAATATATATTCCTATCTTATAAATATTTCAGAAAGCATGAAACGTGTATCTTTCCAGAAATTGATCCAAAGTGTAGATACACTGTCCACCTACCTGAGGCTTCATGGTACACGGCATACGATGTTTGTCAAATGAGGAGCAAGACTCTAGCGAACATTTCAGTCCTCGCTGATTTGTACATGGTGGATCTAGTATTAAAGGAAGTTGATAAATTCACGATATACCAAGATGACTTATTCAGCAGGTGAGGTTATACATTTTAACCACAATTATGAGGAATATCCCGCAGGTGAGGTTATACAATTTAACCAGAGTATGTGGAATATCCCGCAGGTGAGGTTATACAATTTGACAAGAGTATGGTGTAAAACTCCGCTGTTGAGTTTAAACAATTTAACCAGAATATATGGAATATTCTGAAGATGGTTTTATACAATTAAACCAGAATGAGAGTATGTGCAATATTCAGGAGGTGGGGTTATGCAATTAACCAGAATATGTGGAATATTCTGCAAGTGAGGTTATACAATTAAGCCAGAACTACATGTATGCAGTTTATTTAGCAGTTAAAATTATACAATTTAAGCAGAATATGTTTGTAGTTTTATGTTAGTATTCAATTATATTTTGAATTTTTTATAAGGTTTATCTACGCGCTCTGCTTTTCTTTATGTCACCCTGACAAATGTCTGCAATAGTATGTATGTTTAGAATATAACTGATTTAATTTTTAGAATTCCTATCAATACAGGATAATGTACGATCGTCGTATAGACAGGCAGTGCAGCCCAGTCCAACATTTGTCAATCACGTCATGAATAAGGATAATTACCCTTTTCTTAAAAATTACAGTGGTTTTCTTCTACTTATCGGAAAAAAACCTATTCACCGAGATCCCGTGTCGTCGTAGGTGCTAGCACGAAAAAGATCCCTTCCTCCTCAATGGCCCTTAGTGCAGAGTATAGGAAATATATGCAGCTTTCCACCGGCAAGTGGTGGCGTCTCCATATGAAAGAAAAAGTTCTCGAGATGGGTGTTTAACAACACAAAAACAGATAAACATTATACATATATGATCGGTTATTATCGGTTAACATTATATAACTTTGTAAAATCCGGTAATCTGATTAGTCAATACGAAGTCATTACGTTTGAATAATGACTCACACGAGCTGCCTCGTTTTCATTTTCGTTTTAGTCAAACAAATTTGCGAGTTGTAGCTTATATATGAGAAAGATATAGTAAAGAAGTCTGAATCTGAAAATACAAATCGGTTAATAATGATATCTGTTATCATTTTTCAAGAATACTTCGCACATAAAATTTCATGGTTTAAATCGACTTTTTCCACTCGGCGAGCAGAGTTTTGACGCTGTTTAAAGAGACTAATATGAAGAAAGTAAACACTAGCATGCCATGTATGATTTTGTAGATAAATTAACAAAGAAGAAAAAGGTACTAACATTTTGTCAATGCATTTTCTTTGGGAGTGTTAATGAGTGCGTTACTGGGTGGATGGGTGGGTGGTACCCTGTGCTATTCGGAGTTAGATACCTTGTCTTATTATTATGTAATGGGTTAAGGTTTATTACTGTAATACCGAAATAAGTGCCTGTGAGTAGCGCGCAATAAATATATCAATGAAACATTCACAATCAAATTATACATGGTTAACAACAACAAATTACATCTCTGTAAACATTAGGTAAATATACAGTTGCACTAATAAATTTGGGAAATTACATAATATAATAGATATGGACTGAATGCACAGTCAATATGCATTAATAATGACCCAGGATGACAGGTATTGACCTCATATATATGGAGTATTTCGACCTAGGGCTATCCTCGGTCGATATACTCCATGTATCTCCGGTCAATATCTGACAACCTGGGTCTTTTAAATGCTTTTTGTCCTACATTGAGTCCATATTTATTATGTAATATGATTTCAGACTCGCGCTTCTATTATCTGTTTTCAGCGGAATTTGGTTCCATGAATTTATACGAGTTTCAAATCAAGGCAATACTGTTGAGACCTGCAAATCTTTGGATTGTTCTTTACCCGTTAAAACAACTTTAGTGGGTTCAAAAGACGGAATGCTCTGTTTGTATTATAACAGAACAGACCTCAATATATACCCCGAGGACTGTAAGAGGAAAAAGGCATTCATATGTGAAAGCAAAAACAAAGGTAATGTAAATATAGTTTAATATATTTCAGGAATAAAGCTTATTACGCCTTATATTATACTGTAAAGCGACTGAGGATAATGTAGCTAGCGATTATGTCCAAGTTTGCTTCACCTCAAGCAAATAAAAAAAAATTACGTGGATCCTGTGCTATATTCAATACATGCGTTGGATTTGAGATCTTTATAGATCAATTAGAACAACTTTTTGCTTTTGTTGGAAGAATTGTATTATGGAAATTTACATCAACATAATATCATATTATAACTCGGAATAAAGAAGAAATGAGTAAAGTGCATTCTCTCACCCTGTATATATACTTTTTTTGACAGCCCAATACAGTTCGACACCTATTAGGCATCCATTGGACCTCAATCAGGCTTCTATTAGGCAACCAAATAATAGGGTCTCAAGCTACATAATATTAGGCCACCATTAGGTGTTAGGCACTAATAGGGCCTCTTACCACCTAACAAAATAAGGCCTCTGAGATGTTATTAGAATGCTGTATGGCTTAATATGGCTTAATACAGTTAGGAAAATTTACAACAAGTATAAAAGATCAGCTACTCAAATACACTCATCAAGAAGCTGTGTATTACGCAATAAGAATACAACAATACGATAAAACATAAGTTAGGGCAGTGCATGCTTTTGTAATAAATGTCTACTAGTTTAAGTCATGCATGTATGAATTCGTAACTCAACTACATTATATTGTCAAATATAAATTCTCACTTTTCAGAAACAGAAATGACGCCAGATATCTTAGGTACTCTTTTTGCAATAAACGTGCAATACATGTATACACGTATCAATTTGCACATAAACAATTCATGAGAACTTAAGATTTTGAATCTAAATAATGCATTCTATGGATACAAACCGTGATTTTTAAGACGTTTTTCACAAAATTAATTTTCCGATTCAAGAAGGTACTTTATATTTACTTTAAATCTTACAGAAAAAAACATACCTCTTTTCCATACAAAACTCATTTATTAGATACTGCAAATATACCCTCATCTATCGTGGGTCAATGAATGCTGAAATCTATGATGAATTTTATCATTCTATTGTTTTATTGTCTAATCAATCCATTACCTTCCTCTTATGATATTGTAAACAAGTAAAGAACTATCGGATAGGTATGACCAAATTGACACTGTTTTTATATGATGGCAAACATTTCATTACAATTAAAAAAAATAGGATTATTGAACTTATTTTGGTGAATATTAGCACGAGCGTGCGAGTGCATTTGAACAGCCAACTCGTGCCGATATTCACCAATATCAGTTCAATAACTCTTTTATTATAGAGCTAAAGCATTTCCACATAATTTATAATATTTATTCCAACTGAAAAGGCAAATTAATGATTTTTTTTTAAATATTAGTATTCAAATTAACATTTACATCTGTCTTGTAGGCGTTCAATATCGCATTATTTTGATGACCCTATGGAGCGATATAATTTGTTTATTTAGGTTTTAATAATTCTAATACGTACTAAATTTTTCATAAATAATTTCATTTTGTGTGAAAAAAACACATCTTACATCTTTTTATTAGCTATATAATAAGAATGAATAATTTTCTCGTATATTAGTAATCTTGGTTTAATGTGACGTTGATAAATACAAAATTCAATATAAACTAACCTGGAAGTGAAAAGGGTTACTTTCATTATATTAAAATCTTTTTTCAGCACCTCCGTATGAGTCCTGTATGGAAACGTCGGAAACATCTAGTCTAAAGGACAGGGAACCTCAGAATTTGTGCAAGGACTTTTTTTTCTTTGGTGTAAATAACGCTCAGGAGTGCGAATCATATTGCATAGATCGATTTCAATGCTACACAATGATGTGGACCATGGACAAATGTGAATCGTACCGATATATGGATGAACAAACTTGTAGTGAAATGGGGAGAAATCTTTCTTCATCTCTGCGTCACAAAAGTAAGTTTTCTATTTTCTTGTCTTGCCAAGTAAGCAAGAATCTTCTGCCTTATATTATCTCCGAGATGGCACATAAATAAAGAAGATATTTGTTATGATATGTATTGGCAATTAAAGGCAACGCTGATATTGAATACAAACCACAGTCACAACACAAATGACAGTGGTTAAATGTGTGCTGCATACAACAGGGATAGGGTAATCGTAATCAGCTGTAATCGATTACAGTTTGCCAAGTAATCATGAGTAATCAGTAATCTTCCATTTTTCTGATTTCAAGTAATCGTAATTTAATCAATTACTCTTAAAAAGTCCTGTAATCATGATTACTTCTCCATTACTTTATGAGTACAATTATTAAAACAAAGTTCATAAAATCATATTTGATGAAATTTGAATTTCAGTGAATATTTTCAGTGTACAAAATTGTTAAGGTGATTTGAACGTGACGAAATCAAATCTACCGCGCAACTCGAACTGCTGAAAATAAGCTGATCGCTGCTGATGTCTTGACACTAATAATTACGTGTCATTTTGTTATAAAAGTAATTTAATTGATCACAAGCAACAATTTGTTAGACAAATAAATTTATTTTCAATATAGTTCGGATAAAATTATTCAATTTTGGCTTTTGGAGTCTTCTTCTGATATTAGGAATTTACGACAATTCCCTGGCCGTTTTCCGCCACCATGTTGACAGAGAGACGGTCTTTTTTATTTTCATAAAAAAGAAAAACACTTTATTTAGTTGTTTACGGTTCTATGCTGTTTAGTACCTTACAGCAACCGCCCAGGCGATTTTCTTTCTAGGTACAACCTGCACGACAAGATCAAGATGTACACCATGATTTTCAGATAAATACAACAAAATGTTTCGACCGAGCCTTCACTTGTTCACTATGTTTAGTACGTAATGTCTTCTAAAGAGAAACAATTTATTTATATCATGATGAAAGGGTAGCTCATGAAGTAAATGCAGAATTATAATCTGATCAATGTACCATTTGTCTCAACTCGAAAATGAACGGAAAAAAATCACATCGCTGCTATGGGCAGTGCATAGAATGACGAGTCTAGGACACCATCGATGCTGTGAGTTCTTATTCTCGTGATAACGATATTTTGTACTTGTCTTTTCAAACAATATTGAATTTATTCACACAAATGAGAAAATAGCAAAAACTTCATGCACATTTTTTGAAATAAGACTAAATGAACAATACGTTGTGGCTCAGTAAGTAGTTACAGTGATAGATACATTTACATACATAACATTGATTAATGTAAAACCATGCAAAACAGACTGCCAAGCCATTTTTGAAAAAAGAAAAACCTGTCAGGGTGTTCAAAATACCTGTTTTAAGTAATCAGCTCTAAATTGGCTAAAAAAAATTAACACTTATGCATGTCCTCAATAATTTTGAAAATAAAGTATGTGCCACCCCCTCCCTCCCCAAAAATAGGGGTATGGAGTTTGATTAACCCCTCCCCCAATTTTTGAAGTTTGGTTTTCGAGTCATACTCAAATTATGTTTAATGAAGACGGAAGTAAAGGATCTTAGCTGATTATGCGTAATATTCTGTTTAACTGCTAATCAAAACGAATTCTTATTGTGCATATTTATAATCATTTATGACAGTTATCTGTTCGTAGGCATGTCTGGGCTAATGGTATTAGATACACTATAATATATACTGTATGTGTACTGCATACGATAACAATACTTGATCACTTTAACGATCGCAAGTTGATGGTATCAACTCATTTTATATTATATTACTTGTAAGGGATTTCAAGATGTATCGAAACTATAGCTGTAATCACATTTTCGTTAGAGTATTTTGCGCAGAATAAAAATTGTTTCCTGACATGCTTTGAAGTGTTTAAAAACACAAATATGTATTATTAATTTTATAGGAATTTGTGTCAATACACCAGAGAAAATAGTGCAAGTGACATGTAATCACAAAATATCGAAACCGATATAACTGATTTTTTTTCAATCAGGTTTAAACTTAAACGGCTAGATTTCACCTGACAAGGACAACTCTTAGAACCAAATTCTTAACAGATTGATCTTGAATATAACCTAGATATATAAATATGAATAAATTTATTTAATCACTGTTGAAAATTCCAGTCTTCCACAATCTAAATTTGCTTCACAGCAAGCTTTACTTACGGTAAAGGTTATTAAACATGAGTTTGATTCTTATCTCATTAATTGTCGGCGCTAAAATGTTTGAAGGCTATATTTTAAGAGTGACAGAACCAAACCACGGCATTTAAAATACTCATTTTTTTAAGTCAAGAAGAATTTCAAAAGTAGCTTAATCGGGATAATCGAAATATTTATTTTCCATATGAAAGATCATAAAAGTTAAAGAATCTAATTTAAGGAGTGTCTTAATCAAGAAAACATCCTATGTGCATGCACATTAAAAAAAACCAACAGGGAATCGTATTTTATTTCTTATCAACCAAACCTTTAAATTTGAATTATGTTATATTCACATATATGAAAGTAGAATATTTGCATTTTAAAAGTTACTTTATCACGAGATTTGGAATGATGTGCACTGAACATGTAGAATTATTTGACTGTTAAGGATTTAGTGAAAATATTCAAAGTGCATATTAATGATTTAATTTAATTTGCGCTAATTGTAAGTAATGATTTCCTTCTTATAAAATTGCTGAAGTATGAGATGTTTATGCGAAAAGCTGTTTTGGTTTTGATTTTGTCCAAACATATCAAGAGTCTAAAACTTTTGCGGTAGCTTTAAAATTATAATACCCTTTTCTCTGTGACCATTTCAATGATTAGTTCTTAATAAGATATTATGTTATCTTAATAAGCAAATTATCTAATTGCAAGCTTAATTGTTATTTACTAAAACATATAAACCTAACTAGTAATATTTCTGTTCTACATGTATCATTAATTTCTGATGAATAATTATCGATGACAGGAGCAGCCTTTTTATTAGCTCACCTGAGCCGAAGGCTCTAGTGAGCTTTTCTGATCACATTTTGTCCGTTGTCCGTCCGTCTGTAAACTTTTCACATTTTCGACTTCTTCTCAAGAACCACTGGGCCAAATTTGACCAGACTTGATAAAAAGCATCATTGGGTGAAGGGATATTTAAATTGTTAAAACAAAGGGCCAATTCATCTCAAAAGGGGATATAATCAAGAAAAGACAAAAATATGGTGGGGTCATTAAAAAATCTTCTTCTCAAGAACCACTGGGCCAATAAGGCTGAAACTTATGTGGAGGCACCCTGTGATAGTGTAGATTCTAAACTGTTCAAATCATGATCCCCCGGGGGTAGGGCGGGGCCACAATGGGGAATCAAAGTTTTATATAGAAATATATAGGAAAAATCTTTAAAATCTTCTTCTCAAGAACCACTGGGCCAGGAAAGCTGAATTTAATGTGGAAGCATTGTGGGATAGTGTAGATTCTAAATTGTTCAAATCATGAACCCCGAGGGTTGGGCGGGGCCACAATGGTGAATCAATGTTTTACATAGAAATATATAGGACAAATCTTTGAAAATTCTTCAAGAACCACTGCCAGGAAAAATTTGATGGAAGCTTCTAAATTGTTCAAATCATGACCCCAGGGGCTAGGGCGGGGCCACAATGGTGAATCAATGTTTTACATAGAAATATATAAAGCTGAAACTGATATGGAAGCACCCTGGATTAGTGTAGATTCAAAATTGTTCAAATCATGAACCCCGGGGTTGGGTAGGGCCTCAATGGTGAATCAAAGTTTTACATAGAAATATATAGGAAAAATCTTTGAAAATCTTCTTCTCAAGAACCACTGGGTCAGGAAAGCTGAATCTGATGTGGAAGCATTGTGGGGTAGTGTAGATTCTAAATTGTTCAAATCATGACCCACGGGGGTAGGGCGGAGCCACAATGGTGAATCAAAGTTTTACATAGAAATATATAGTAAAAATCTTTGAAAATCTTCATCTCAAGAACCACTGAGTCAGAAAAGCTGAAACTGATGTGGAAGCACCCTGGGGTAGTGTAGATTCTAAATTGTTCAAATCATGAACCCCGGCGGTACAATAGGGCATCAATGTTTTACATAGATATATAAAGGAAAAATCTTTGAAAATTTTCTTCTTAAGAACAACTGGGCCAGAAAAGCTGAAACTGATGTGGAAGCATCCTGGGATAGTGTAGATTTTAAATTGTTCAAATCATGACCCCCGAGGGTTGGGCGGGGCCACAATGGGGAATGAATGTTTTACATAGAAATATATAGGAAAAATCTTTGAAAATCTTCTTTTCAAGAACCACTGGACCAGAAAAGCTGAAACTGATGTGGAAGCACCCTGGGGTAGTGTATATTCTAAATTGTTCAAATCATGACCCCAGAGGGTAGGGCGGGGCCACAAATGTATTACAAGGGGGAAATCTGGTAAAGAACAATATGACAAAAGATTCTCAGGTGAGCGATGTGGCCCATGGACCTCTTGTTTATAGTTGTATTAGGCAGGGCACGTGGGGAATTGAAAAGTCATTATTTCATTGCTTCAATAAAAATAAATCTGTTTTGAAAACAAACCTACAAGGTATGAATAAAAAGTTTGAGAATTCCCTTAATAGTTTTTCTAAATGGTTATTACTAGGTTGTAATTTGTTTTTCATTTCTCATCATATATTTATTATATATGTAATTTACGTTGCAAGAACTCCTCCCAAAGGTGATGTGCAAGCGATATAAAAACAGTTTCAGGATGTCAATTTTAAAGTGCCCAAAACAAATAAATAAGTTTTACAAATTTTTAAGTAGTATGAATTTTGTTTTGTATACATGTATTGCATTTGCAAATGAAACATTTTTTTTTACTTCACATATACTTTGATATAACATTCACACGAGAGAGATCCATCTCAGAACCTGAAGTTTGTACAACTTTTTTTTCGCGTACATGTTTGAAATAATTTGATGATTATATTATTCTTCATATATCCATGAACTTATAAAATTATTTACTTTTCTTCACACACTGAAAAAAGTATTTTAAAGGTGCACAGAAAATGTAAGACAATGGAACAGTTTTCAAAAGATATCGACTATGCATGATACACGTAATGTTATTCTTTTTTAAAATTTTTAATGATGTCAATTTCTCAAGGGCTTTTATTTTAATATAAAGAACAGGTCAATCGGTAATGATGAACTATTTTAATACAAGTGCTAAATCGTAATAAATCCAGCTCTTGAAAAAGTGGGTAGACGATATTTTCAATGAAACCGTACTTTGAAGCATCACCACATTTTGAAATAGTCCTGGATATGATTAAATGTTCCCTATTTCTAGTCTTTCCTTATTTTAAGACACATGAATTTTACAAAAATATATTAACAAAATATAAATTTCAGTTGTAAATTGCCTTGAAATAAGTAAAGATATTAAGTATCTTTGTCTTTAAATCTATAAACATATGCCCACCCCCCCCCCCCCCCCCCCCTTTAAACACAAAAAAGCTTTGATATGAATTTGTGTAAAAACAGTCCATCACCTGTCAGAAGGAGTTTTTTGTGTCACGGGGGAGGAAATTCTTTCCTGTTTTCTGTTGATTTGTATATTGCAAAACACCGATTTTACTCAAATTTTACACATCTCTCTCTTTGTTTTCCAAAAAAGTAATGTTTTATAAAAATCCATATAATCATCTATAAAAATACTATTAACTCTTCTAATATGCTAACTATCTAAAATTGACTTGAAAGTAGGCGGGAGAACAATACTATCGTCCGCAGTTCTTTTTATGGCCTATTTGATGCCTTGTATCAATAGGACTTGTTAAACTTTCTACTAGAGTATATATGTAAAAAAAAATAATCTGTAAAAAAAAATTAAGTACATAACTGAAAATTTGCAAATAAAACAAAATAATTTCTTTTGTAATTGATTGATTCTAAGTTGTTTGACGTCCGTCTCAGAAATTTTTTTAGTCATATGGAGACACCATCACTTGCCGATGGAGAGTAACAAAATCTGTCCTATACTCGGCACTCAGTGCCATTGATCAGTAAGAGTTTTTTTTGTGCCATCTTCCACTGCGACACGGTGCTTCGGTTTTTACGGTTTTATCCCATGGACCGGTCTCCATGTCCCACAGTGGGATTCGAGCCCGTGATCTGAGGTTTGAATCCTTACCTCGCAACTTTAAAGTGGACACTCTAAGCACTGCGCATCGCAGGCGACAATATTAATTATAGATAATGAAATTTACATTTTTCTTTATTGCAAATAACACACATAACCAAAAAAAAATGAATCAGAATCCTTAGCTCATTCAAACGTTGTATCTTCCTCAAGATAAATTGTAAGTAATTATTCCTTTCTTATGAAATTGTTAAAGGTTGGCCTTCTTAGAATGAAATATTTATGTTGAAAGCTGTTTTGTTTTGATTTTGTCAAAACATATCAAGTGTCTAAAATTTTTCCGGTAACTGTAATTATAATAGTCTTTTCTCTGTAACAATTTCAATGGTTAGTACTTAAATAAATATTTTGCTAATAAAAAAATTATCTAAATGCAAACTTAATTATCATTTTACGAAAAAATATAAACCTAACCAGTAATATTTCTGTCGTATCATTAATTTCTGATGAATAATTATCGACGGCAGGAGCAGCCTTTTTATATGTACATGTATAAGACAGGGCTCGTGCGGAATTGAAAGGTCATTATTTCATTGATTCAATGAAAAAAAAAATCTGTTTTGAAACCAAACCTAAAAGGCATGAATAAAAATTTAATAGTTTTTTTCTACATGGTTATTACTAGGTTGTAAGTTGTTTTTCATTTCTCATCATATATTTATTACATGTGCAATTTAAATTGCAAGAACTTCCCCCAAATAATATAAAAACAAAACGTTTTGAGTTTCAGAATGTCAATTTTAAAGTGCCTAAAATAATTAATAAGTTTTACAAATTTTTAAGAAGTATGGATTTTGTTGTGAATACATTTAACGCATTTGCGAATGACACATTTTCACACACTAAGAAAAGTATTTTTAAGGTGCACAGAAAATGTACGGCAATGGAACAGTTTTCAAAAGATATGGACTATGAATGACACACGTATTTTTTTAAAAATTTTCCTTTGCCTTCCCCCCCCCCCCCCAAAAAAAAAAAAATTAAAAATGCTAAAATGATAAAGAAATAGGCAAGCTAACTTTCGATTCTCGCCTACATTTTTCACCCATTTAATTCAATATAAAGCTTTTTTTTTTAATACAAAGAACAGGTCAACTGGTATTGATGAACTATTTTAAAACCAGTCCTAAATAGTATTAAATCCAGCTCTTTAAAAAGTGGGTAGACGATATTTTCAAAGAAACCGTACTTTGAAGCATCACATTTTGAAATAGTCCTGGATATGTTTAAATGTTCCTTATATCTTTCCTTATTTTTAGACACATAAATTTAACATATTTAATATATTAACAAAATATAAATTTCATTTGTAAATTGCGTTGAAATTGGTTAAAGATATTAGGCATTTTTGTCGTTTTTTAAATAAACATATTTTTACCAATTTAAACAGAAAAAGTTTTGGACTATTTTAATACAAGTGCTAAATCGTAATAAATCCAGCTCTTGAAAAAATGGGTAGACGATATTTTCAATGAAACCGTTCTTTGAAGCATCACCACATTTTGAAATAGTCCTGGATATGATTAAATGAAATGTTCCCTATTTCTTTCCTTATTTTAAGACACATGAATTTTACAAAAATATATTAACAAAATATAAATTTCAGTTGTAAATTGCCTTGAAATAAGTAAAGATATTAAGTATTTTTGTCTTTAAATCTATAAACATACCCCCCCCCTTTAAACACAAAAAAGCTTTGATATGAATTCGTGTAATAATAGTCCATTACCTGTCAAAAGGAGTTTTTTGTGTCACGGGGGAGGACATTTTTTTTCTGTTTTCTGTTGATTTGTATAGTGCAAAACACCGATTTTATCCAAATTTTACACTTCTCTCTCTTTGTTAATTTTTTAATGAAAATCCATATATTTATGTATAAGAATACGAATATCTCTTCTAATATGCTAACTTTTCAAAATTGACTTGGAAGTAAGCGGAAGAACAATACTTTCGTCCGCCGATCTTTTTACATCCTATTTGATGCTTTGCATCAGTATAACTTGTTAGACATTCTAGTAGATATGTACAAAAAATAATATGTATCTATATTAAGTAAATAACTGAAAATGTGCAAATAAAACAATATAATTTTAATTTTTAATTGATTGATTCTCTGTTGCTTAACGTCCGTTTTGGGAATTTTTAACTCATATGTAGACGCCATTACTTGTCGGTAGAAAGTTACAAATTTTGTCCCATACTTGGCACTCAGCGCCATTCAGCAGTGAGAGATTTTTTTCGTACCTACTGCGAAACGGTGCTTCGCTTTATACGGTCTTATCCGATTGACCGGTCTCCACGCCCCACAGTGAAATTCGAGCCCGTGATGTAAGGATTGACTCCTTAAATCGCGACTCTAGAGTGGACGGGACTAAGCACTGCGCAACGCAAGCGACATTATTGATAATAAAATGGCCATTTTCCTTAATTACCAAAAAATTAATCAGAAATTTCAGCTCATTCAAACGTTATATCTTCCCCAAGATAAATTGAGCTCCAATTGAGCTCCAATTTTTTTGCGTGGACCCTAAGGTCCACGCAGTAAATATATAAGCCAGGTTAAACCGGTTTACCGTAGCTAAGTAAGATGCACACTGACCCCCTATTTTCTCTGCGATTTTGAGCCATACGATAAAGTCCTTGATATAACAAATTTCACGAGTGACATATCTTTGTTTCTATTAACATTAATTGTAATTAAATGCAAATGACTGCTTTATTTAATTAAAGGTATTTTCCTGTTCAATAATGAGGACTATTTGTTGGCAACAACCAAACCTCTAGCTGAATGGTGTACTGGTAAGGTTTCTTTTATAGTCAATCTGGAGGAAAAAGATTTTGTCCTTTGTAGCGGCTTTGATATTTTCTTGAAAGAAAAAAGAAATATTTTTTTATCATTTTTCAGAGCCACGGAATGATACAAGCTGTCACGGTACTGTTTCTCTGAATTAAATTATATTTATAAGCTTAAAGAGTAAAAACTTTAGAAATTCTTTAAAAAATAAAAAAAAGTAGTCACTATTAATTAACCATGGTAATTTCTCTTTTTTCATGTTAATTTAACCTTTTTTCATGAATAATTATGAAGAAAAATATTTGTTGTCTTTTTGTTAATTAAACAGATTAAACATTACGACTTTGGACATTCTACTGCGGAAGAGTTTTCAAATTTAAATATTAATCAGTTATTCATATAACTGAATACTCAAAAAATAGGTTGAAGAATTTTGACAAGAAAATTGCATAAGTTTTTATCTACAAAAATAAGATATTTTCCTTACTACCATTTTATAAGAATAATCAATCATTAATAATTTAATATGTTATAATGCTTAAAATGAATTACAATGCCAATTTCAATAGCTTATGTATATACCTGTTTTTAATTTCATGTAGGGGCCTTTTCTGTGCTTTATGAAGATTCCTGGAAAAGTAAGATTTTTTCTTAAATTCCATGAAAATGAAAAAAAATCTTATGTTTATATTGTATCATATTATTTACAGTGTTTATATTTACTTTCGTTGATTTTGTAAATGAATTGAAAAAATGAAAAAGTGAACAAATCAGTTTCTTTTTTGTTGAGGTTGGAATGTACGTTAAGTCTAATTAGAACTTCGGTAAGACTCCATAACATATATAGTTATGCGAATAAAAAGAGGGTATATTAATTGTAAGTTATGTTCAGGCGTATTGGAAACCCTCTTTCTTGAAAATGATCTAGCATTATTGCTACCGACCGAATAACCACAATAGCGCAATACGTGTATAATGTAATGAGCACATGAATTTGTGACACAATTGTATACTCTAGGAGGGTTGATTCAACCTTTCGTGGAATTTATCTTTAAATTTGTATCTTGATTTGATGAAAGCAAACAAAAGACAATACTTATTCTTTAAAAGCCATTATGCAACAATACTAGAAAATTTCACTGCGTTCCAATTATCCTCAAGGTCATTGGAGCTTTTGAAATATGGGCAGTTATAACATCAGGAGTAGACTTTGATGTAACGTTAAGTTAGGTATGTCACATCAAGTTTCTTGGGGATCTCTACATATCGCCCAATTCAACTTAACTTTTTACCGAACACTCAATTTTCTCTTTCTGGATACGCACCCGCACCCACTTCATTGTACAACAATCATTTCATGCTCTTTATTATATGATATTCCGAATTCTGTAGCAATGTCAAGCAGAAAACGTTGGCGGTCCACATCCATGAACGCTAAAGTTAAGTCTATGAGGAATATTTGTTCCTCTATAAGGCAACCTTACCTTTCTTCAATATTCATGGAATTTCTATTTTCCTCAAATCCCTGACACATCTGGAAAACGGTGTGTTCCCGTTTTGCACACATTTGGTAATTAGTTTAGAACAACAGGTGTGAAGTGTGTTTTGATAGCAATTATAGTCTGATTTCTGGTTTGGATTTACCTGGATTTACCTGTGAATACCTGTTTTAGCTTAATGTATTCTTAAGAGGTTTAATACAATTTTATAAGCATTTTATTAAAATTCTTTATATATTTATGGGAAAATATTTGATTTTATTGAATAAATTATTATTTGATTCATATTATTTATTATTAAGTCCAATTTCTTAAAAAAAAAAGAATATGTACTTTTCAATCTTGATATAATTCTAAATGAATTAAAGATATAACATATAATAAAGAAAATAATGAATAAAAATTAATTTGAAAAGATGTTATAATAAGATCATCAGATAAATACATTAACTTTGTATTTATTCTCTTCTTTTTTCACTAGACGTTCATCTTTCACATACTTACTAAGCTAAGTATAGTATAGACTATAGCAATTAAGTAATCATCTCACCTGGTCAAATTCCCACTTTTCACACATTTTTTAATTACCTGTAATTAAATGTGTGCAAAACGGGAACAAACCCTGGAAAACCAGCTTTGCTTATTTTTGCCCTGTCTGTAAAACCAGTATATGCTTTAAAGTCAGAGAGTTCCCGAGATTTTAAGTTTACCTTGGCTGAAAACTCAAGTGAGCTTTTCTGATCACCCAATGCCCGTCGTCCGACCGTTTGTTTGTCTATCCGTCCGTCTACTGTATATCTAGCTGTCCGTCCGTCTGTAAACTTTTTTTTTTACATTTTCAACTAATTCTCAAGTACAACTCGACCAATTTTAATTAAACTTATTATAAAACAACCTTAAGTAATTGAAAGTTAAAATTGTTAAAATGAAGGGCCAATCCCTCTTCTAAAGAGGGATCATCAAGAAAAGAACTTCATTTAAAACATCAAAAAACACCAGGCCAGTAAACCTGAAACGTATGTGGAAGCATCCTGGGGAAGTGTAGATCCTAAACTGTTCAAACCATGACCCCTGGGGCTGGGAGGGACCAGAATAGGAAATCAACGTTTAACATAGAAAAAGATCGGAAAAATCTCTAAATATCTTCTTCTGAAGAACCACTGAACCAGGAAAGCTAAAAGTTATATGGAATCATACAAGGAAAGTGTATTCTAGAGTGTTCAAATAATGATACCCAGGGGTAGGGCGGGGCCATAAAAGGGAGTCCAAGTTTTACATAAAAATATATAGTATATATTTTAAAAAATCTTCTCAAAAGCCACTAGATCAGTAAAGCTGAAATTTACGGTCTTTCTAGGGGGAGGATCTGGTAAAGAACAGCATGACAAAAGTGACTCAGGTGAGCTTTGTGGGCGATGAACCTCTTGTAACAAAAATAATTCTTGACCGAATTACTAAGTGATGAATGTTGAACAACAAATCACCAACTCATGAAGTAATGTCAAATAAAAATCTCTTGCAAAAGTCTCTAAGAAATAAAAGTCTTATAAGAATGAAGTTTTTTATGTTATTTGCCACTTATGACCGTTTTTAATCACTTATTTTGGCGTGACTGACTTCATGTCAAATGCCAGTGAAGCTCTAAAAATCATTTTTTTTTCTCTTAAATGAACGAGTAAATGTCTCCCCGGCATTATAAAAAATCTCTCTTTATGACAACTGACAAAGGTAATATAAAATATTAATTTCTTTTTAAATTAAAAAAATCGACAAATGTATCTATTTTTGTTTTGTAATTTGCAATAACTTCCACAAATGAATTAATAAGCATTGCAAAATTTTACGAACTTTTGGATCAACTCTTGTTTATTGAGAGATGTCATTAAAAACCGACAGTATTCATTGTGCTTCGGAAAAATGGTACAAAATTATACCGTTTATTGTCATTTGGTTTTATCGATCACTATGGGAGAGAGATCTAAGTTGCAGCACATATCCTTTGATAGGCCTTGCAATGTCTGGTAGTGAGACAACCAGGCCCTTGGTTTTGGAAGATCAAAGATCTTATAATTTGAAAAAAACTTTTATAGAGCCTAGATATCGATAAACTCCCAATGTCTCGAAATGTCTTAAATATAACAGCAACTACAGTGTAGCCTTGTAGTTTCGGGAGTTTATAGATCTTGTACTTTGAGAAAAGAGAACCCACTTCTAGTTGCCATGTATCGATGTTTGCACCGATCCCAACTGTGGAAAATATTCGCAAGTTTTGCATAATCCCTTGAGATTCAAATATTTCTCCCTGCACACCAATTATTAAACAGCATGTTTTGTACAGTGTTTTTTTTTTTCAGCACAAAAATTATTCATGTCGGATGAATTTCAAATTGATGAATCGTGGTTTAAGTTGTAATTAACAATATCTGATTTTTACAGAATATTTCAATTCAATTTGCTAAGTTTTCTCTTCTTTTTAAGTAAATAAGTTACTTTTTGGTTTTTATTTTCAGCATATGGTGCTAAATGTAGGTACAGTGTTCGTTTGCCGGAAGCCCCCTGGTACACATCTTATGATGTGTGTGAACAGAATAACCAGACTCTGGCTGAGATTACCTCCCTTTCTGAGATGTTTATAATGGAGGATCTACTTAATGACGTAGACATTCTTTTAAAGCATTCAGTCTTCAAGTAAGTTCAAACGGAATACATAAGAACTGTATATTTTAAAAACATAAATTACATGCATACTATTTGATATTGGACATTTTTATCTTGAACAGCAGTAAACTCATGGTATTGATAATTTATTGACTAAATTTTTAATATACAACATGTATTGCATGAGACAATTTTCTGTAATTATCATTTTTTCTTCATATTCTTCATACCTTGACTAGTCATTACACACAAGCGTCCTTTCTATGTTTTTGTTTGTCAGTGTGTCTGTCGGTTTATGGATAGGAGGATTCATGCGAACTTCAGACAAAGAGATTTTGACTGGAAATTGTAAATCATTGAAGGTCTTATCATCAATACATATACCCGCAGAAGAATTTACAGAAGAGATACTTTGTCTGTACTATAATAGAACAGCAATGAAAATCTACACAGACAACTGCAAAAAGACGAAACCGTTCATTTGTGAAAGAAAAGAGAAAGGTATAATAGTTATCGTATTGAACGATTTTTTATTTCTATATTTCATGCGGAAATCGCAAAGGTGTCTTTTTAAGATCTTGAATTCAATATATTTCTGCAACAAACATTAAAAGATAAAAAGCACAAAATACATGTAGACCGTCCATCATTAGCATAAACCGAAACATTGTAACCTTTTGCTATTATGACGGACATGTACTGTATGTAAGCTAAAAATGCTTTATATTCTAGTTGATTAAGCGGACAACAATGCACTAATTAATGAATACTGCAAAAATTAACGTAGATCACCTTCTTCTTTCGCGAAATGGTATTTTTTGGATTTGATGAGC